ATCAGAAACCTTGAAGCATGAAAAAAGAAAGAAAGAAAGAAAGAAAGAAAGAAAGAAAGAAAGAAAGAAAAAATGGAGGAAAATAAGGAAAAAGCAAAACTAAGAGACAATTTTTTCACTCGTTTATTCTTTCTTTTTTCTCTCTTTCATTTATTTACTCTAAAGATAACGAAAAAGAAGAAGAGCGTATTTATTTGAGAGCAATTAATTTATGGAGTTCATAATTTTTAAGACACTTGTCATAACACAAATTATATATATTTACTTGCAACATACCAATCCCATGTGAAACATTGATGACAAGCAARGCGTAGGCTAGAGCGTCATTGACTCCATATTGTGTTTGTTCATTTGTATTTTTARATTCAAAGCTGATTAATCAACAAACAGCTTTAATTGAACAGGTTAACTCAACAAATTCTTTCGCGAGGTACGAAAAACCTTACACTCCTTTTGCCATTTACTCTTCACTCTGGGCCTAGGTTGTACGGCCACCACTGCCCATCCTAGAGTGATATTAATTCCTTGAGAGATCTGTACGTTAGGATTTGTAATTCAAAATGAAGGCTGTGCTGCTTGTTGCAGTTTTAGGAGTATTTTTTTATTCGGCAGAATCTTTAGGTAAGTTAACACTGTAACGAAAAACAGACTTAATTTTAGGATTCTAAGTTAAGTATTTTTGGTAGACGTTATCGAGCTCTTGAAATTTTGAATTTAATGGGCTTGTATAAGGGAAGGTAGGACGGTTCTCTTTGGTGCCATCCTGTTGGGGATCGAAGAAAATACTCCTTAGATTAAGGTCACATTATTTCATTTTACATTTCACGTACATTTTACACATTTCACAAATTGAATGAAGTAACAGGAGCTTTACTAACAAGGTTAACTTTTGTTTTTGGAGTCATCTTGGCTGGGAGAGGAAAAAAAAGGATTGTCCCTATAGCGCTAGGGTCATCGATTTTCATTAAAAACATACGGCTTTATTATTTCAAATCTTTTTTCTTTGTTTAAGTTTGTTCATTTTTTAGGATTAGATTGCATGAATTGGGATAAATTTTTGAAAACAGTTTAAATCAAATTAGAACTAAAGTTAAATCTTTTATCGATCAGACACTTTTAACTGTTATAATGTTGARTCACCAAAAAACCCATTTCTATTTTTACAACGTTTTTTTTTTACGTATAACTTCCATAATTGAATATTTCCTAAATAAGTTGAATAAAGAAAAAAATTTTTTCAATTCAATAATGATAATGAATTGGTTTTATATAAAATAAATTTCAAGATTTTTGAGAGAAAAACAAATATACGAAATATTACTATCATAGCAGCAACTGCTTTAAAATTTAATTTGCTGTTTGTTTAAATCAGTGTCTAAARCGGTAAACTGTTCTATATATCTTAACTGCATTTTCAAAATAGGTTACATTATTTTTCATAAGTGAACAACAAGATGCTTATGGACAATTTTCAAAAATATCTTGATGTAAGGCTAACATGAAAATACAAAAGAAATCACACTTTTTCTCGATTGAATTTGTGGTATTTCATTTGTATTTCCATGTTAACCTCGCATTCAAGATCATCTTGAGAACTGCCCATTGAGTATAAGCTTCTATGAACAATCATCTCAGATACTTCATAATTCAAGCGTACACCTCGAACATATTTTATAAACTGCATGGTTGAATGTCCATGGAATTGGATGGAACTTTATGAGGAACTCTTGGTTTTATTCTTCATAGTATCAAACAACTTTTTAAGAGAATGAAGCCATAGAAGATTTTTTTAAATTGGGCGTTGTGTTTTCAGACCACGCGTATCATTACCTAGAGTATTATTTCTTTGTTAAATGATTACGTATCAGAAGACACATGAATATGGATACAACTCAAACAAAGAATCTTATTTTCAATGAAATTACACGTGGTCTGAAATGGGAAAGCATGACCAAATAGAGCAGTCTTCACTCTACATCGTGATTGGGTAACTTTTTAAGAATTCCCGAATGAAGTGAAAATAACTTGCTTGTTTGGGTTGCAGTAAATGGAAAGTGGTCAGCTTGGTCCGGATGGAGTGGATGCGCACCAGGAGTTTGCGCAGGAAATCAAAGAATCAGAACCCGCACGTGTTCGAACCCAGTCCCCAGCACTGATGGCGCGTACTGTGTGGGAGATAACGCTGAACAAAAAGATTGCATGAGTAAGTATAGTACATCTAGAGATATTTATTTTTATGCCTCGTATTAATTAATATTTTTGCAACAAAATCACTCGACAAAGACTCGTAATTATGCATTTTTTTTACATTAGAAAATATATGAGACATGAAGATTCTAGATCTTCCCATAAGTTTTCTTCTAAATTTGCTAAAGATCTCGAGTATCTCAATAGTTATGAAGTTTGGCCGAAAAAATCTATCTACCTATAATCCTTGAAAACCTTAGTAAAATGAGTATATACACATAATGGGCGCCGTATGAGCCATACATCATAATAAATGAATAAAACCTGATCATATAATGAGAGAAATATCTTCAGTGAACCTAGTGACACTGTTATCGATGGGAGCTCTGAAAAGAATAAATACCTGAAGCCTTATTATGTCAGAAATTTTAGGGTTGAATAAGAGATTTTCTCCCGGTTCAACACCCTATCCCAATTTGAAGACATTCCCTCATGATCATAAGCTGCACGGCGGCTAATAGCGCCTTAATGCGCAGCCCGTAAAGTCCTTCACTGTCATAAATGTAAAGCGCATTGAGACGTCGTATAAATGCGCTATATAAAAGCTCCTATTCGTATTATCTATTAACGAACATATATAGTTTGTTAATACACACGGCTATCGCCAACATGGATAACAATATAGATTTTTGGTTATAGTTGACGGTGGTTGGACAGAATGGTCACAGTGGTCGCAGTGTGAAAATCCATGTGGAGGTTCATACGTCAATCGAACAAGAGCCTGTGACAATCCCAAGCCTACCCCGGACGGGAAACCTTGCACTGGGAAGAATGTTGAAACTAAACTAGAGTGTATATGGCCATGTCCAAGTAAGTGATATATATGAAACAAGGTTCGCCTTGGCATGTTTACACCTATTTCAAAAAACGTTGTCATCGCCAAAGGCGATAGGCATGATTCATTCTTGACATAAAAATGGTTTCATTAAATATAAAGAACATTGAATCAGTCTCAACGCTAAGGTCTATGTTTTTGACGAGAATAAAAAGCAGAAACACAAGTCATTCCAGCTATTCTTGGATCTTGGAATGACCTCCTATATCCTATCGCTTTTCGCCTATCACCTATCGCATTTGGCGATRACAAGGTGTGTATACTACGATTAACTGTCCGTTTTAATGTTCAAGTCGTTTGGCACTACAATCCCTAAAAGGTGTTATTCTATGAAGCATTAATACGCCGTCCTTGGGAATCGAAGAAAATCAGCAAAAGATTAAACAAAAATAACATTTACTTTTTATYAAATCTAAACAAACAAAACAGGATTTTTTTTATTTTTAAGAAAAATCTACGGAAGATCTGTTACTTTTGAATTCGTCTTTTACAATCATGGGAGCTAATGCGCTCCRAAACGCAAACACACTCCAAATGCTTACGAGATAAAAATAGTTAATAAAATGATTTTGATTGGGTCTTTATGAACGCGGCCCTTTCTCAGTATTTCGCCGATTTAAAGGGCGCGAATTTGACCCAAAATAATCCTTTGAAAATGCTCATTCTAGCTATTTGTCAATGTAAACTAAGTGTTCAAATATTTTTTCTTTTATCATACRAAATAGTACAATATTTAGGTCTAAAAGGGATTTTATTTTTTTCTGCGTATAGCGGAACCTGTGGACGGTCAGTGGAGTGAATGGTCAAAATGGTCGAGTTGCCCTCAAAGTTGTGGCATACCCAGCGGTACTTTCATCACGCGCACGCGTCAATGTAACCGCCCTCCTRCAATGAATGGCGGGAAACCATGTCAAGGAAACGCCACTGAAGCTGTTAAATCGTGTTTCACACCTTGTCCAGGTATGGAACTAACTTCAATTAAAAAGAAAACAATATTTAGTGAACTGAAAAACCTGTTTATATTTTCTTGAGTTTCAATACTTTCTTGATGGGCAAAAAAGTATATATGTCCGTTTTTCTGTCTGTACTGTCTGTCTGTTTGTCTGTTTGTCTGTCTGTCTGTTCTGTCTGTCTGTCTGTCTGTCTGTCTGTCTGCTCTGTTTTGACTGTCAAATGTGTTGTCCCTGTGAACCTAATCTCTTAACAAACACGTTACCAGTTAAATAAACCTCCATTTATTTCTGCTGTTTCGTGTTTAGTCGAAGGAGGCTTCACGTTATGGAGCAGTTGGTCGAGGTGTTCAAGGACGTGTGGTAACGGAATGCAACRACGAAGCAGATCCTGTACAAACCCACTACCACGACATGGAGGACGAAACTGTACGAGTGATTACAGCCAAATGAAAAGCTGTAAGCTGGAAGTGTGTCCAGGTAAGGCTAAACCTGGTGATGTACAGTATGTATAGGACTATTAGCATGCACCAAATGATTGATTGATGGGCACCCTGTTGGCTGGGTTTAAACCAGAAGGACGACGGCCAATACTTAGGATCTAAAAAATATGAGTAGAAGGTGCTGCCCTTGAGAAAAATTAGCACAATTAGCTGAGCTGCAAGAGCTCGTGGGTCCAAACACAAGGACGACCAACACTCAGAGATTTAAAATATCTAAGTAGGAGGTGCTGTCTTTGCTCTAAAAATATATATGTAAATGGCTATATCTATGCCATGGCTTGGATAGCCATGTAAAATGGCGGTTCTGTCTCATTTAGGGAAGCTAGTCAGAGAGGGCTGTGTTAATAGTGCTCAATCTTTGTCATGACGGTTTTTTAGGTGCCGTTGATGGTGGTTGGTCAGCATGGACATCATGGTCACAGTGTACAGAGGGAAAATACTGTCTCAGGGGATGGTCCTCTCGAAGCAGATCCTGCAACAACCCTCCTCCTAAGAACGGTGGTGACGAGTGCGGTGGACTTGGTGTTGAGAAGAGAGACTGCCCTACACCTGAGCAAGGATGCTCTGGTAATTATAAAAAGCTATAGTTTGATTGCAAACTTTCATAGAATAACTAGAGTGCATACCTTATATATATCCCTTAAAACCTTTGTAAGAAATTGCACAACTTTGCACGAATTAGTAAGTTCAGCAGACCTCAGTAGACCGTAGAACTACGAAACTTTGCACTGATTTGTACGATATTTTTTAGTTGATAACTTGTTYACGCATTGTATGCACTTTATTATTACTGCTTGACTATTTCATATAACATTGTAAATAGCCCTTGGGAGAAAAAATTCGGGATTGCACATGACCTTTTTGCACAAAGACCGGGCAAAGCGTTTGAGTAGAAATTTGATACCTACATTAATCAGCTTATAATCAGAAAACATAGCAATATATATGAAGAGAAAGTGCTGAGAAACTAAGTGGAGTAAAAGCGTGCTCTTGTTAGTACAGTTATTCTCATGAAGCATTTCAAACCAGGAAAGCACAGCTTATTTTTTGGATTTTGATCGAATGTAAGCAGCAAGGAATGAGGAACGTTTCCTTAAAAATATTACGAATCTTACGGGTTTGGATCTAATGAACAATTTGAAAACGAACTAACTGAATTGCAGGAAGAAAAAAAACACACGCATAACGACAACAACAACAACAACACTGAACAACAACAACAACAGCAACAACAAGACGACTACAAAACTAAACTAAAAAAGAAAAACATCTTGATAAGGCGAGATTTGGATTTTAATCAAAAATATGTATTTCTTAATAAAGGAAAAAAAAAGAAAAGGTAAAAAGAATAAAAGAAAAAAATGAAAAAAAAAAAAAAAAAAAAATGATAAAAAGAAAAAGAAAAAAAACCAAACGATTCCACTTTGCCATACCCCCGAGACATCCGCAGAGCTGAGGCGGCGTATGGACTTCG